TTGACTGCAAAGACAGACTTTCAGAGACCTCAACGAGCGAGATGTGTGTTCAAGGCATGTTGTGGGGATTACACTACATCCTTCAAGGCATCAAACCACAGACCTTTGAGGAGTTAGCCACCCACGCCCATGACATGGAGTTGAGCATTGCCCATCATGGGAAGAAAGAACCGATCACCGACTACAAGAACAAAAAAGTTCTTGGGACAAAGGTGGAGAGCGCTGCGTGGAAATCCACCAAGGAAGCAATGGCGGTCAACACAGCTCCCGTCAAAGTCTCTACACGAGGCAAGGTGATTCAAACCGAAGCTTTTCGTGATCAAGAGATGCGTAGACGCACTTTGAAGGAGCTTGAAGAGAAGACTTATCCATTCCTCGACTCTGATATGGCTGCCATGTTAGAAGACTTGTTGGACAAAAAGGTGATCGACCTACCTGAGTGCAGACGGCCGGAAGAGATGAATCGTACTAACAGTCCAAGGTACTATAAATTCCACCATTTCATCAGTCATCCAACGAAAAAATGCTTCGTACTGAAAGATATCATCCTGAAGCTAGCACAACAAGGGAAAATCAAGCTTGACCTCGAAGACACGGTTGCGGCACACACTACTACTATCGTGTTTGGATCACTCGATCATGTGCCTCTTCGAAGCATGCATGACCATTCTCGTCAATGTTCAAGTCACACGGCACCTCCTACACAACCATCACCAGGGGCAAGCAACCAAGATGCATCTACTGGTAATAAGGAAGGGTGGACATCGGCGACCTACAAAAAAATGAGGAAGCCAAGACTGCCATAAGGCCAAAAAAGGAGCCTAAACCCGCCCTTCGAACTTCAGTCTTCGATAGGCTGAATCATTCAAAACCTAGAATTTCGGCACTTGATCGCATCAGTGGTCGAGACCGAACTTCCGTCTTCAAAAGGCTTAAGACGCCAACACCATAAAGATCTGTCTTTTAAAGGTTATCAAAACCCAAGAAACAAAGCCGCATAGCTAGATCTCCTCCGCAACAGTCGGCTTTGGACATACTTGAAGAAACTAAGAAGCCTTCTAGAAACAGGAAGACAACACCAAAAGAAGAAAAGCTCGACAGTCTAGCAGGAAAAAACAATTTTCAAAGCTTGATTCCTTCAAGGATGAAGCGCCAAGCAACTTTGGAAGTCAACACAAAATGACCATTGAAGGTAAGGAGGCGCACCATCATCTACACCGGCTAACCTTCACGACAACAAACCCAAGAGGACCACACTGAAGAGGAGGCCCAAGAAGACAAAGAAGACGAAATCACGGAAGAAGACGTCACTTCCGGCTCTGTCAACTTAAAATCTTCATCTCAATCGCTGGGGGCATGCTCCAAAACCATGCCAGTCAAGCTAAGTGAAGTTGAATGATGGATTCATGTCACTCCAAATAAACTGCACAAGAAGCATATGTCTTTTCCACAAGTGCACCAATCGGAAATGGGGCAAAGCAGCTTTCGCCAACCTCCAAAAAGATGTGAAAGTGTTGAAGATGAGGAAATTTTGACACAAAGATCGACCATGCGCGATCTCTTCTTCCTCAGAAAATTATTCAGCTACTCGGTCAAGGCTCTTTGTTATAAAGATTGCGAAGAACGCCTCTCCAGGCAGTAACCATCTCTTCCACAAGTTCACCAATGGGAAAGGGGGCAAAGCAACTCCTGTCAATCTTCAGAACAATGTGAAAATGTTGGAGATAATGAAACTTTGACACGAAGATCATCCATCCCCATCACAATGCATGACCTATTCCTAGAAGACTTCTTCAACTACTCAGTCAAGGCTCCTTGCTATGAAGATTGCGAGGAACAACTCTCCAAGATCGATTGACCAACCAACTCCTGCTCCTTGGTCGCACGAGCCTAAACTGCACGAACCAAAGCTCCTTGTCCGCACGAGCCTAAACTGTAAAACATGAGGCTCCTCGCCCGTACGAGCCTAAATTGCATGGCACTAAGCTCCTGGTCTGCACGAACATAAAAGGCAACACCAAAAGCTCCTTGCCTGCATGAGTGGAAACTGCAAATGGCACCAAACTCTCCTAGCCCGCAAGAGCATAAACTGCGTACGGCACTAAAAAAAAAAGTATTTGAACTAATTTATGACTATCTTCTTTAGAAGAGTATGTAGGCAACTTGAAACCTCAAAACTTCAAGTACAGTCACATAAAAAAAAAAGAATTTTATTACAAATACAAATAATATTCTTCGTACAAAAAAAAAAAAGAAAAAAGAAAAAAAAGAAATACATATATATATATATATATGTACATATACATATATGTAAACAACTCCAAAAAGCCCAAGCTTTCCTCACGAAGGCAGGTATCTTCCCTCAGCAAGAGTCTCATTAACAAACTGCAGAAACCACATTTGCATCTCGGATTGCATATGAGTGGCAAGCTCGATTGTGTCTTTCATTCTGTGACCCTTCGTCCACATCACCATCAACTGTTTCTCCTCGCAGATCTGGGAGACATCACTGCTAAGCACATCAAAATCCATGGCAGTAGCTTTCTTCATATTACTAAGCTTGGAACTGTGCAACAAATATGTCAGGAACAAGGTTGAAACTGCAGCGCCTTGCTGGCTCTGTCGATGTTTTCGACGGCTTGAAGAATTGTTTGGCACTCTAGTCTTGAAGGCTTACGCGAGGACAGATCCAATCATTCGCCGACACCCAAAGCTCATTGACCTTCGATATAAGGTCAGACACCCAAATGGATGGTGGTAACCCGCACTCTGGTCCTGCAAATTATTTATAGCCGCCTGTGTTGACTAATGCCCTATGCTTGATCGTGGAACTGAGAGCCATGGGAACACTAATCCTGTGGCATCTGCAATGCTTGCTCAATATTCTTCGTCCAATAATTTGCAGTTTCAACAAGCCACAGTTTGTAAGTTCAAATGCTAATGTTAGCAATGAGTATGGGAGATCTGCGAACATAGTATTACCCATAACATCACCATGTTCCCCACCTCTGCCATGAAAAACAAAAAACAAAAAATATGATGATGGTGGACGGCCACCATGTAAAAAGAAAAAATATATATATATAATAATACTAACAATAATAAATAAATAAAGGGGAATGAGAGGCAAAGAAACAAAGCCTTTCGGTGCATAACATAAAGAAAGAAAATGGGAGACACCATGATGATGCTTTTCTTTCTTTGGAAAGCAACAGCATGAGGACAGACAGCAAGATGCAGAAGCACATCGGCATAGCATGGCAAAGAGGGCAACGTTTCAGACGTTAAACATTATCCTTTGCAGCAATTGGCAGTAGTAAGAAACAAGGAGAGCCCATTATCCTTCGCAGTGGCCAGCATTTCCTATCGCAGCTCAGCCCCCTTGCAGCAGCTTTTGTGCAGCAAGCGTAGCAAACGGCAACGGCAGTGCAACAACCCTTGTACAACAACCCTCATGCAGCACCAAGACTCACGGCAATGTCACCACCGAGGGAAAACTATGACCAAAAGGCACTACACAGCAAAATCCTGCTACAGTCTTTTGCACAGCACCACATGGCAACGCACCACCGAGGGAAAACTGTGACCAAAAGGCACTACACAATGAAACCCTACTGCAATCTTTTGCACAGCACCACGCAGTAAAAAGTAACCTTTTGCACCACCTCAAGCTCCAGCCGCTTCTGCACCTCCGCCATGGCTGCTACCTTCAAATGAGATTGACAAAACCGAAGTTTGTCAACACACACACAAAGACCTCCTCTGTCTCTCTCTCGCAGCTGCCAACAACTTCAAAGATAGTCGTCAAACGACTAGCTGGTCGTGAAGCTCGACACATTGCACTACCTCCAAGCTCGACCTCGTGCCCTCCACTGCTGAAGCACTGGTGCCCCGAAGCTCCGTTCCATCTTCTGCCCATCATCAAAATTTATACAAAAAAATATATATTAAAAAAAGGGATAGTGGAGCCAAGGTGGTGCCTCAGCCAGCACCATGAAAGAAACAACAACAACAACAACAACAACAAAGCCTTTTCCCACTAAGTGGGGTCGACTATATGAATCCTAGAACGCCATTGCGCTCGGTTTTGTGTCATGTCCTCCGTTAGATCCAAGTACTCAAGTCTTTTCCTAGGGTCTATTCCAAAGTTTTCCTGGGTCTTCCTCTACCCCTTCGGCCCTGAAAAAATGATAGTGCATCAGCACCATGAAAAAAAAAATATAAAAAAAGAAGGTGGAATCTTGGTGCATCTGGCACCATGTGTGGAAAGCAAAGAAAATAATATATATATATATATATGTAAAAGATAAAGGTTTCGAAACGATGCATCTGGCACCATATGGAAAAAAGGATAATGGGTGCATGATTAAAAAAAATGTAAAAGAATGATCGTGCATCTGGCATCATGTGCAAAAAAAAAAAGAAAAAAAATATATATATATAGAATGAAAAAAGCCTTATTTATTGATTTCTTTGAAAATTTACAGAAATGTACATTTTACATCAGTAAAAAAAAAAAAAGAGCAAACAGGAAGGAGCCTTCACGAAGGTTGCTCGTGTGAAGCCTCATCACTCGGCGGAACCCCAGGAGGAGGAGGCACCGAAGGTTGATCATTTGGAGCTTCATTACGCGGTACAACCTCAGAAGACGAAGGCAAATGCTGTTTGAACAAACCCACAAACCTCTGATGATCAAGTAAAATTTGACCATCAGATTCCTGCATCTGGTCAATTTTCCTCTTCATGTTTGTAGTAGGGCTGGGCACGGGCCGGGCCGGGCCCATTTTTGAAAGGATCGGACCGGACCCTAAATTAAAGGAGACAGGGCGGGCCGGGCCGGGCATTACAATTCTGAAAATAGAAACCGGACCTTACCCGGCCCGCTTGAAACGGGCCGGTTCGGTCCGGGTACACGGGTCCTTTTTTTTGCTGTTTAAAAATGTTTGTTGCACAGAATCTGTGCAAAAAAAACTGCAGTAGCACAGATTGCAGTTTGAAAAGCGGAATGAAGATGAAAAAACTGCATATGGTCAAACAAGCAGTGGGAAAACGTACACTATGAATGGTATAACAGAGTTTACAGTAGCAGAAATATTTGATTATGTACATGCTGTAAGAATGATTACTAATAAGTTTGATGCTTTGCTTCTTTTCAATTTTGTCCTGCATAACATAAACAAATTTTATTAGAAACACTGAAAAAATGTCAAGCAGGCAGCAAATAATTAAACCCTGACTTTAAACCATAATTTAAACCCTGACTTTGTTGCTTTCTGATTGGTTCAAAGCAAATAATTACTCTCTGGGATGGGAAACATAAGTAGGCAGCACAATTAAACAGAGTGAAGTTCAGTGAACACATAACAGACCAAAAAGGCTGAAAAGTATCATCATGTTATTATACTAATCAGTTTAGACATACCTAAAAGGCAGACAACATTCTAGATTAGAGATACAAGGAAATTAACTTGTACAGTAGGAAATTAACTTTAAGAGATACAAGTTAACATACCTAGTTGCACCTACTTTTAAGAAAAGAGAGAACCTCTGCCACTGGAAGTTTGGAACTCATTCTTCTTGTTAAAAACCACCTGAACCGAGTGAACAAAGTAAATAATCAATTCAAACAGGAAAGAGCTTCCTAAAAAATCCAAGAGACTAAAACATAAACCTAGTCAAATATGAGTTAAATAGTTTGCTTGTAATAGTAATTGGGTAACAAACAACCATAGTTCATATGAAGGTTGTATAACTTGTATTAGATGGAGCTGAATTAAGTTGTCTTTCTCACTACAAAGTATTGAGGCATCCAACTCCAAGAAAAAAACATTTGCAGCATAGATACAACCAGATACATTCAGTATTTATAGTCACGGTACCAACTTATCAATGGCTGTAATCAGATACAGTTGAACCGATTATTCAACACCCAAAAAGTTGTGCAGGTACCAGTACATTCACAAACCCTCTAACTTCAAATAATCCAACGTCTAACCAACCGTTCACTACCTCCCTCTAATACGCATATTTCTAGCATTTAACTGATCAAGGAGAAAACTAAAAGCATAACCCTTTAACCGTACAATGGTAATCTCAATATGCTAAAATAGCCATATATCCTCTACCCGCTATCCATTCACAACCCTAACAAAAATCTTCAATTTTTTTTCGTGATCAATCAAGTAGCGCAAGTAACTCCGTTTCTACTTCAGATTTCCATAATCAAGAGCCCACCATTTAACTATCTACTAATCTAGTATCTAATTTCCTTAAGAACTTAGAAGTTAGAAGGCATCAAAGCTTGCCAAATTACTGCAAAATTATCAATTCAATCATCAATCTACTGCAAAATTAACTCTAGTAGTAACCTAGTTCGAAAACCCTAAAATCCCTACACCCAAAATTCAAATTAATAACAAAACCCTAATTCAAAATTACCTAAATTTTAGAAGGATGATGGCTGGTACCAGTGTCATCGACGACGGTGATGGGGTGATGGTGGTCACGACGGCGGGGGTTGCTGTCGAAAATGAGAGAATCGATGGCAAGGGTGATGGCCTGGGTTCTCTGGGATGTTATCAAGAAGGATGATGGGTGGTGCCGTTGTATTCGCCGAGGAGAATCGACGGTTGGTAAGGGGATTGGAGTCGAGGGAAGGACGATTAGAGTCGCAGAAGGTAACTGTCGAGGGACTGAGGTAACCGTCCGAGAGTTTGAGATTGAGAGAGACAGTGAGACTGTGAGAGCGAAAGTCGGGAAGAGAGATAGAGAGAACGTAGGGTAAAACTAAAACAACGGTTCAGATTACATATGTAGCTTAATCATCAATCTGGTCCGTTCATTTTAATTACAAACGGGCCAGTCCGGGTACCCGCGGTTCTTATACTCTAGGAACCGGCCCGAACCGAAAATCACAAAGGCCCACCCTGGGCCGCCCTGTTTCTCTTTTTTAAAAATAGGAACCGGCCCGTACCCGCCTCGAACCGTCATTACCCGCCCCGACCCGCGGTTCCTGTACCCGTTTGCCCAGCCCTAGTTTGTAGCATAGTTATGTGCGAGCCTGTGCAACTGTTTATTCTCATGCTTGAGCCCTCTAATCTCCTATTTGAGACTCATCACTTCAGCCACCAATGATTCAACTTGACGGGTTCGAGCAAATAGACATTGGGCCATATTAGACACAGAACCTGCACACTGCACACTGAGAGCCAGAGAATCCTTAACATCTAAATCATCAGACCGTTTGGAAAGTAGTCTGTTATCTTTAGGAGTGACAAGGTTCTGGGCCACCACCGCAGCGGTCATATCATTCTTCATCACCGAATCCCCAACGGTAAGAAGACCAGTAGGGGATATGAAGGATGGATGCCATATGTTGTCTGGAGAAGGCGGGACTACTTCTTCACCAAGGTTTAAGTCGAAACGACGGTCGGAGGGTCCATACATTTTCAAAGGTGTTGAAGAAAGAAGAGGTCGGACAAATCAAGATCTTAGAAGTGCAAGAATGGGGTTTCTACAAGCGAAAATTCAAGTGTGCTTTGAAACGAACTGCGTGCCTTTATAAAAAAATCAGCACTCGATAGGATTTCAGAGATCGAAGAGGCGAGCTCAGAATTCGAAGAGGCGAGCTCAGAATTCGAAGAGGCCAATTCAAAAATCGAAGAGATGCTAGCTTTCTCAAAAGCTGGGCTTGCTCGGAAACCATTGGCCAATCTTCTTTTCCAGACTCGTCAGCACCCGTCACACGCAAACTCAGCTTTGTGAAAATCACGGGCAATTTGTTGAAGCGCCGATCCCAGATATCGAAGAGGCACCATTCTTTTTCAGCCTTGTTAACACCTGTCACATGTTTACTCAGCTTGGAGGAAATTACGGACAATTTGTCGAAGATTTCTGATAAAAAAGAAAGCACATGAAGCCATACTGATCAATCACTCAAATGGTTGCCGACACGAGTGAAAGAATAGTACCTCTATAGTATTAAAGAACTTCCTATAACTATCCACCTTCACCCTCCATAGCAAGGCAAACATACATAACCTTTCTTCATCTCCGAGAATGTCTTCCCAACGAAGCCTCTCGAGTCACTCAGTGTTCCTTATTCCTTGGGGTACCTCTGCAAACAAATGACATCAAAAGCAAAAGTATCTCATATCACCAGGGTAGAAAGCAAGAGTATCTCATATCATGCGTTCTCCCTGTCCTTTCCTTTGTCCTTGTTCTTACCTGCAAAGACAAGGATAAAGAAAGCAATATGCTAGAACCTCCACTTAAACTCGGCATGTGGAGACAACGTGTAGAAGGAACAAGCAGAGAATAATGCGGCCTACACAGTCAACTCAGCAGAAGGAGTCTGAGTTGAGGAACTCAAGAAGCTGCCACATCTGCCTGGAGAACAAATAAGGAAATGCGGCATGCACAATCAACTCAGCAGAAGGAGTCCGAGTTGAAGAATTAGAGAGAAGAAGGGGTCTGAGTTGAATCCAAGAGCTCGAGAAGCTTCAACAACATATTGACGGCACCATTACCGAAGAACAAAGCCTCGTTATGCAACACTATCAAATCGCCACCACTTCTTCGAAAGCAAGAGTATTTCATATAATGCTTTCTCTCTGTCATTTTCTTTGTCCTTGTTCTTACCTACGGGACAAAGAGAAAGAAAGCAATCAACCAGCACTTGGTATCAATCTTCCGATCTGGAACTGACTGTTTAGAACCCTTCCCTGATTGCTTACCTAACACTGCTCTCGAGTACTCGTCTTTCACTGCTGATGTACTTCCAAAGAAGCTGCCACATCTGCCTGGAGAACAGATAAGGCAAGTGAAAATGATACCTTGCAGCATGTGGAGACAACGTGCAGAAAAAATAAGTAGAGAAGAATGCAGCATGCACAGTCAACTCAGCAGAAGGAGTCTGAGCTGAGGAACTCAAGAAGATGCAACATTCTGCCAGAAGAATAGATAAGGCAAGGGAAAATAATACATTGAAGCATGTGGAGACAAGCACAACAAAGCACGTGCCGATTCATCCGCTACTTCTTCAAAATCAAAAGTATCTCATATCATCAAGGTTGCAATCACTCTGGGTGGAAGACTCGTTTTGACCCTTAAATTCTTGGGTCGACTCGCTAGGCGTTGTGGGCAGCACGTGCCGATTCACCACCCCTTGAATCAAATCCTTAAAGATCAAGTCACCAACTGGAAATGAGCCCATCAATCTTGAGGATCATACCGTTGACCAAACTGTTCAGGTGTGAATTAGAAAGATTAAACAAAACAACAAGCCGTCACCTTCACCTCGTGCCTGCTTGCCATGTGTTCGAGTCAACCTTCAAGAATCAAGCCTCAACGGCCCTTCAAGAAGCAGCTTCTAGCTTCAAATTCAATCAAGATCGATTCAAGATCAAGACGACCCCGATTGAGGAAATCACAAGTCCGATTCAAGATCAAGCCTCCGCCACCCTTGAATCAAACCCAGTTCAAGAATAAGCTGTGGAAAGTCAACAACTGGAGGAATCCAGAAAATCCTCCAACATAATTCAAGATCAAAGTTGTGGAAAGTCAACAAGTGCAATAAAATACGTGCCGATTCATCCACTACCAAAGCCAAGGATCATCTACTACATGAAGCTCCTTATGGTCCAATTTCAACCTTCAAGATCAAGCATCGACGGCTCTTAAAGAAATCTCAAGCCCAATTCAAGATCAAGCCTCAACGGCCCTTGAAGAAATCTCCAGCCCAATTCCAGATCAAGCCTCACCGGCCCTTGAAGAAATCTCCAGCCCAATTCAAGATCAAGCCTCACCGGCCCTTGAAGAAATCTCCAGCCCAATTCAAGATCAAGCCTCGATAACCCTTAGATCGACATCTACAGTAAGGGACTTGAAAAAGCATCTCCTACACGTGACAAGCACATGTATACGATGCGTCTTGAAGTGGGGGCATTTGTAGACATCGAAATTTCGGTAAATAAATGTTGACCGATAAATCAAAGTTTCAACGCTCATGTATTACATAAATTTTACACGTAGCGTGTCTAAACAAAAAATCGAAATAAGTTGGAAAAGTCATCAAACAGGACATATGTCAACGCCCGGCAAAAATGATTTATTTCATCTGATTATTTAATCCCAAAAAATCAAGTTTTGGAATTCTATAAATAGAAGCCAATTTCATTCATTTGGGAGAAAATTCATAACCAATTCACATTACACCAAAACGTTGAAGCTCTGAAACTCTAAAGCTCCCAAGCAAATCCCGAAGGATCAAGAAAGCTCTCTTCGTTCTTCGTCAACTCAACCTCCAAGATCAAGCCCCGACGGCCCTTGGATCAACAATCATCCACCTCCAAGATCAAGCCCCAACGACCCTTTGAAGGAACTTCCACCAATTCAAGATCAAGCTCCGACAGCTCTTCAAGAAAGCGTTCATCGTTCATCATCCGTTCATCCTAAGATCAAGCCTCAACGGCCTTTTGAATCAACAACATCAACAAATCCACATATCCAATCGTTCTTCAAGATAAAGCCCAAAAGCCCTTGAAGATCCATTCATCAACTGTTCATCAAGATCAAGCCCCAAAGGCTCTTGAAGATCCGTTCATCAACTGTTCATCAAGATCAAGCCCCAAAGGCTCTTGAAGATCCGTTCATCAACAGTTCTTCAAGATCAAGCCCAAAAGCCTTGAAGATCCGTTCATCCAACCGTCCTTCAAGATCAAGCCCAAAAGCCCTTGAAGATCCGTTCATCACTGTTCTTCAAGATCAAGCCCAAAATCAAGCCCAAAAGCCCTTGAAGATCCGTTCATCACCGTCATTCAAGATCAAGCCTCAACGGCCCTTGAAGAAACTTTCAATTGTTCATCCAAGATCAAGCCTCGACGGCCCCTGGATCAATCGCACATCCACAAATACACACCTTATGGAGATCGAATCAGAGGATCAAATTTGAGAGAGATTGTGACCCAAAATCATTAAATACAAATATTATTTTGTACACGTTGTTCTTGTCTCGTTTGTTTCAGGAAAATTTCGTGTTTACAAATAGTTCAAAATTTCATATAAAAGTCGCACTAAATACATAACCAAATTAGATTCAAGAATGTAACAAATATTTTGGTTTCCCTACCTCAAACCTTAACAAGCAGCAACTAAGACCACCAAAACACAAATCAGTTTCAAACAGCCCAAACTTGTTCACTTTCCAAACCAGCCAGAGAACTTGTTGCTATGAGAAGATGGCTTATGAGTAATTAAGTCTTAAGTGGGAATATGGTTTTGTTGAACTAGAAAATGAAAGAAATAAGAGCTAGAGGATGACATATTATGTGGTGTGAAAGAGAATAATGGAAAGGAAAAAGAAATGACCTAGTAAGAAAGAATAACAAAGAGTTTCAAAATATCATCCCACCTCTTCAAAGCTAGCTGCCTGCCTAGTAGAAGAAAGTAGAAAGCTGGAGTGGGTATAAACATGACACCTATACTAGCAGTTGACTAGGTTAAGCTGTGTTTCACACTTCTTGCTTTCAACTTTATTATATAAGTAACTACATGGCTCAAAACTGAAGCACTCATATAGTTGGTCTGGACTCTAAACAAGTTATAACCATAAAGCACTTGCTATCAAATACGATATTGTCAATCAAATTCTTCATGTGACCAATGAATCATATCAAGATATGATAACAACAATAACACGCATAAGCAATGTCTCACACAATATTGATATGAAAATTAACTTGACACACAAATTAAACCCTATTGTTGACAATTGTAGTAAAGATGTAAGTAGGGATCGTTCTAGACTGGGGATTAACTAGGGATGCTAATCAACACAAATAAGACTTAAAAACACTAAATCAGACTCTATAGACTCAAAACTGACTCAAAACACTCAAAACAACAACAAACAATAAAAAAGACTCAACTCTAGACCTAACAAGTGATTTCGACAA